CTCCTCCTCCTCCTCCTCCTCCTCGCTGGCTTCGGTGGCTTGCTCCCGCTGGCTTTTTTTCGTGCGTGTGCCGGTGCATGTGCGCGTCTCGTCGCCGCTTGCCTGCTTCTTCCTCCCTCCCTCCCTCCCTCTCTGCTTCCCTCCTTCCCTCCTTCCCTCCCTCCCCGTTTAAATTTTGATCGAAGACATTCGCTTCGTCCATAATTGATCTGATTTGGTTGGTGGTTCGCTTTTTAATCGTCGATCGATCGCATTAGATCCAGCCATCACCTCCCCCACCACCACCGAAAAATCCAGTTCGTGCAAGATAACGGTGCTGGGAGGGAAAGGGGATGAAGGCGCTTCTTTGAACGGCCACCATGGAAGGATCTAGCGCTTCCAGTTTTGGAATAGACACGATTTTGTCTAATCCCAGGTCCGGCAGCCCGGTTATGATGAACGGAGACTTTCGGACGGCCCATGGCGAGGCCAGGGCAGCGGATTTTCTCAACCAGGCCACTCCGTCCCCTTGTTCGGAAATAGACACGGTGGGGACGACTCCCTCCTCGCCTATCTCGGTCACCGCAGAGCACCCCGAGCAGCATCTGGCGCAAGACGGCTTGTCGCCGCAGCATCACCATCTTCATCACAGCCAACATCCAGAGCAGCAACAGCCAAAAAGTTTGCAGCCGTCGCCCCAGCAACAGCAGCAGCAGCAGCAACAGCAGCAGCAGCAACAGCAATTAGGTTCGGGCAGCTCTGCCCCCAGGACTTCCACTTCTTCTTTTTTAATTAAGGACATTTTGGGAGATAGCAAACCGCTGGCAGCGTGTGCCCCTTACAGCACTAGCGTCTCCTCTCCCCATCCCACCCCCAAACAAGAGAGCAACGCAGCCAACGAAAGTTTCAGGCCAAAACTCGAGCAGGACGACAGCAGAACCAAACTGGACAAACGCGATGACTCCCAGAATGAGCTGAAATGCCACGGTGAGTGGGACCGCGGGTCTTTGGACGCCAAGGTTCGAACGCTGTTTCAACGTTCCACTGTTTACGTTTCGAACGTTCCTTGTTGTGTCTCTGTGATTTCTAACATTCCAAGTCCTTTCACCTCCCCCCCCCCCCTTGCTATCAGAAATTGCTTGCTCTGAAAACTTCAGGGCAACTTGGAAGGTTAATGCGAATTCGCTAAGCCATTAACAAGAGATTCCAGCAACACGGAAACTATTTAAAAATAAAATAAATCCAGTAAGAAACCGACAAATACAATCAGGCTATTTGCAAAACCTCCGGATTTGTAAACATTTTCCCCTCTGTATTTTTTATATACAAACCATATATTTATTTCCTTCAAACTGAAGCTACGTATTTCCCCCCCCCTTAAAAAAAAAAAAAGAGTTGATACGACGAGAACAAAAAGAGTCTGCAAGTGTGCACTTCAACAATACCAAAATGCCAGCTGGGATTACTAGAGATTTTAAAATGCAAATGCATATTATAAAATGCGATCTGCATGCATAATTTCTAAACATAGTTCACACAGATTTAGCAACACTTAATTAGCAAGACAGACCTCCTCAAGAATTTACAATAAATTACATTTTTTAACAGGGAAGCAAACCAAACGGGTTGATCAGATCGGGGTCCTTCTTTCTTCTTTCTTGTTACGTCTTTCTTTCTTCCTTGAAATATTTTTTCCCACTGAGTTAATACTGTGCAATATTTTATGGCATTGGTTTTTGTGATGCTTTAGAGTGTGTAATAGTTGTTATGTTCTAAAATTCAAATGCATGTGATGTGTTCAATTCTGCCACTTTCTGGGGGAAAATAAAAGACCCCCTCCCACTACCAAGGGAATCTCACTTAACTGGAAAGGCGTTTTTGAAACGTGGTGATGAGAGAGGACACATTTCGCTCATTTTACAACCTTCAGATATTTCGCAGTAACTAATAGGACGACGTTTAGTCTGCTATTCAATTTTCCATTTTAGCACGAACATATGAGCGTCTAGAACCAGATGTAGAGCCTCGTCTAGCATTTTTTTTTTTTTGTGGTTGTTGTTGGTTAGTTGGTGCACCAACCTCCCCAGTGGGTCAATTAGAGAGATTATTGTTCTCCCTGCAGGGAAGATCAAGGAGAGCCCAGAAAAAGAAGGAGAGAGAGGGAGAGAGAGAGAGAGAGAGAGAGAGAG